CTTTCTTTTTGAAGCTCAGAATGAATGACCACTACCAGAATTTTTTTTTTCACCTGTATCTCCCCGAGGTCACAAGCTTCCCTTAGTAAACACAGTGGCTCCTAAAGTTGTTATTTAATAGAGAAAAGCATAGCTATTTGCTCCCTCAATCTGCAACTTACTATCTGTGCCTCACTACTGAGGAACACACCATCTGCCATAGTTTCAGATCAGTTAAGGCACTTCATGTTCAATCTTTTTTGTCTAGGAGATGCCTGGTAAATTTTTCAAGTCAGCATATGATCTCTTGCAATGCCCGACTGAACCAGTTATTACTTATACTCTAGACTAGAGCTATTTATTTAAATACAGAATATCTGTTTCAGGAAATATAATAGGATCTGCTATAGCTAATCACAAAAACAGACTCAAGTAATTCAGAACATTTTTAGAAATGAAAAAGGCATCCAAAAACTCCATGAGTTTGGAAGAACACTGGGCTCTGAATTTAGATTTGATTATAAACAGAGTGGATAAAGAAAGCCTATAACTCGTAATAACAGGCAAATATGTTTTAATGAGATTTAATTTAAAAAAAAAAGAGGAACTATGATGACTTCAAAAAGACCTCAAATTACTACAAATCAATTATATTACTTTAAAATTTTGGCAGCAAAAGCTATATTATTTAATCTTATTTTCCTTAAAGATCAAGTCACTGAACTGGTAGATGTCAATAGTAAGTACCTAGAATTTGCTGGACTGCTAAGCCAGCTTTTGACTGCAATCCACCTGCAGACAAGGCTAGGAAAAAATTCCTCATTTTGGCCTATTTTACTAGTTGAACTCAATGATTAAGGACAAAGGACCAATTTAAACAAGAGATGACAGTGCAGGTCTGGGGCCCGGAGTAGAGCCATGATCCACTCCTTACACATCCCTGCGATGGGCACCAGTTCTGCAGGCACAGGCCCCGGCCCTACCTACCCATCCCACTCCCAAACACTACTTCTTGGCCACCTGTGGCCACATCCCATCCACCCAGCCAAGCACACCCTGCTTATGGGAGTCCCCAGCTGGTCTTTGTGGAGCCCCCACCCACCTGCTCTATCCACCACCCCCAGCAGTGAGTGCAAGGCAGATGAGTCCAAGGCAGGATAGGATCAATTGGCATCTCCCCACCAGGTGGTATAAACAGCTGTGTTGGGAGGCCAAGGCTGGGTCAACATCACCCCCCACAGGCCCTCAACAGCTCACAAAAACTCCTTAAGTGGTCTTCCAGTCCAAATAACTGCCCACCCCTAGATTACAGGTACTGTGCCCTTTATCTGCATATCACCATTGGTAGGCATGGGCAAGTGAGTGAGAAAAACTTTTGTGCTGTGATAACAATATGTTTTAACTGCTTTTATTTTGAATGTAAGAGGCCAAGGAATTCAGATGTGTGCGCACTGGCCCTGCCTTCTAAAACTGTAAGGTTCATAAGGGGACTGATACCGTAAAAGAAAAAAAA